GGACCACAGATGAGCGTGTGCCCCATTCGATTGGGTCGCAGTGATCTAGTTATCCGAACGCAAATCAGTTGTCCATTGTGATCTAAAATGCAGCTGTACAGTAGGTTACAATATCTAGGCCGGTTGAGCGAACATAGTTTGTGAATATATCTAAAAATCATGAGGTTCTCTTGCTTCGGCAGTGAAGTTACCACAACCAACGTAGCCTAACGTCCCCTGTTTACATCGCGGGAATGTCCCTCCGAATAGAGGAATGCCCTCCCGTGGTCCCGTGCAAAATGCCCGCAAAGTGAAAGGTGTCCCGTCAATGGAGATGCTTCAGAGGAATAAATAACGTCCTAATATTCATATTAGACGTATTACAAAAGGTGCAGGTTAGCATGTCGGCCTGCTTGTCTTGGGTTTTCGGCTTGGCTACCCAGCCGTGCTTACTGGTGAAGAGACCGACAGCTTGGCATAGACTATCTGACTGACCTGATGCCGTTTTGACCTTTATCAGAACCCTGATCAGCGTCGTACATAAAACAGAGGCATCTTTCCAACCATAATGCTCATGATCTGAAATTCACTGATACTCGTTATGAACTAACGTCTCACGCAATCTCTCATTCTGTGTAATTGTAGATGTGGTACCGCCGACACAAACCACCTTTCGATGCCTACCCTAACCACGATGTTCGACCAGGCCACAAACGGGATGCATTCTTGGCAACCATGTTCCCCTTGGTACGTAATGGAGACATGTTCACGGATGTAAACAACCTCGGATACGATTACGACAAACCCGATATGGTTGGTCCACTTGCACTCAACCGTGAAGAGCCCTTTCACCTCCACGCGTGAAGTTACAACAATGAACAATACAAGAATGGGAGTAAAATATGAAGAGAGTTATTATCTTGTTCCAAATTCGATGAAGTCGGGTTAGATAAACCAGACATTTATGAAAGTGTTTATCCTAAACAATTTGAACGAACAGCATTAAATTGGAAAATATGATTCAAAAACATTTATTTGCCTACTGAAGAAAACCTTCAATTTTTGCTCCAAGCAGTCCGGACAAATGCTTCGTTTAACTTAAGATTTCGGTTTAAAAATCATCCAGTCTTGATGAGATTCAAACACACACGGCGATTGGATTTAATCTGTTGGATCAATGTGGCCTAATCGTCGACGAGAAGAGAGGGCAAAATTCAACCTACCCGTTCTTTGAATTCCTTGAATTGGTCGCTTTTTTCAGCCATATCGTGACCCCATTTAGACGCACAAGAAAGCAGACAAGCAATATTAAGTGTGTTTTCCTTTATGGAAGCTTTGAAAATCTTTGATACTACCTGATGCGGACTATTGTCATTGATAGTTTCGAGCAAGTTTAATCCCAGGGTGTCCTTTTTTAGGCATGCAGTTCTTACAAGTCATGAGTTGTGACAGTTTGTTTATCAAAATTCATTTTCACGTATGGGTGTTTCTGAAATCCTGGATTCCAATTTAGGATTCCATTTCTGATGGAACTAGACAAATTTTTAGCCATTTTTTTCATTGTTCAGCCGCCCATCAGGAGTTTTTCTAGTCGGTCCGCCCTACGCACATCCGTACTTCCCGTAACGCCTTACGAATTTGGTTTAAATACTGGGTGCAGTTGAATCATACGGTGTAATCAGTTAGAATAGGACACTAGCCTAGCAAATCAAAACACACTAGCCTAGAGAAGATAACCGGCACAGTAGTCCGAGAGAAGTACGTTATGGTGGTTCATTATGATGAGTCACACGTAAGTAAATAGAGCCATGCTTTTAAAGGAAACTACTCACAAGTTGCTGAAAACTCTTCGACAGCCAAGGAATATCACAAACGAGAGATTCAGTAGAGTCTCTCGTGAGAACCAAATTGATTTGCAAATGAGTGTACTTCTCGAAGAGATTCATGCTTAGTTCACTCACCAGCATGATTTGTTGGATGAATGTAGGCAAACTGGCTGTATGAGAGCGACCTATCTGAGAGCTTTCCTATATACCATTCATAGGCGTCGAATGTCGCGTGGATTCACATCCTCGACCTGACAGGTGTTAAGGTCGGTTTGAAATGTGACAATGATCGATCTCATGGTTGGCCGTTGACTGTGCGTTGGCAAGCGTGCCACGTTCGATCAGTTTCACCTCAAATGATCAGCCGAATGTTCTTTGAGCATCTATTGTTTGTCCTAACAACCGTAGCACGGTTGGTTCGTTTATGACTACCGGTGTGATTTATTTTTCTTGCTGCTTCTGGAAATGTCTGGGGGGATACCGACCTTGTCGAGAGTTACTCTTCTTTAGACGAGGCTCTCCACTTTCCATCCAAAGTCGCCTGGTGGTTTGGCGTTGTGGCATGTGAAGCTGACTTATCGCCGGGTCCCAACTCATGCAACTTCTCGCTGTCGTTCCTCTCGTCCACCTCTGCGAGAAGAACCTTCACAGCCGCACGGTAGGACAAGGTTCCACTGGTGACACAGTGATTGTTTTTCGTGGTAGTTGAAATGAAGGATTCTAGTACTCTTCGGACAGTTTTGTATGTCTCTGCCGCAATGCTCAGGTGCACAGCAAAATTGAGGAATTTCTTGGTTCGTTCCGTCTGTAGATGAGTGAGTGAGCCAACAAACACGAATCAGATAGAGGATTCATACCAATATGCTATCCCTGAAGTAAGGGACATTGCTTTTCAGCCTTCCTCAGCTGGCTTGTCGGGGCTTCATGAAATTATTTGCTCTCCGGACACACATCAATCGTGAATGTGTTCAGAATGCGTATTCGAAAGAATGAGGCGCACATCCGATGTGCTTTCGTTCGTATTCTATGCATGGAATTTTCTTTCGAAGGTAGTATTATGCAGCAAAAACCTGAATATTCCAATTCCACGTTGCTCTCTTGCAGGTTTAAAAAAGGCCGACGGATTTGCTGAGGCAATCATTCCGGCAGGTTTCTATTTAGTTCGATAATTTGTCTTATGAGCAAACGATATCCAGATACCGTTCCTGCCAGTTGAAGAGAAAAACTTGTCCACGAAAGCTTTTTCACTGGAGTCCTGATTCGCCCAAGCGGATGAGTCTTAATTGGTAGAATACACCATTTTTCTCCTAGTTTCCTTCATAATACGTGACTCAGATAACTGGGCTGGCTCAACAGTCTAGCTCAATCTACCTGATAAGCCCTCAATCGAGAAACCAGTCATATACAATATGAAATACGAACATGCGTACAAGGTTTGTTTTCTTTCGGCCACTGGTTAGCTTAAAGTTCCAACTAAGCCCCATCTTATGTTCCTATCATCAAACGAAAACAGAACCAGTTGTTCCACAGCGACTGTTTGCCCTATGTCTCTAGGTTCGTTTGTATACTTTGCAGCGGCGAACGAAACCGCTGAAGATTTGGGGTGCAAATCCTTGTTACGGGTTAAAACTAGAATGACTGCACTGTCAGTTTCACTTTACCGTTTGTAAGCTCAGGCTACCGAGGGGTATCGATCGTTCAGGTTGGTGAGCCTCGGTCGGGTTCCCCGGTTATCAATTGAGATTTCGTCCTATAAATAAAACCAATATATTGACGACAATCCGAGAAGAGCTGTACAGCTGTTTCATGCTTATTTGGAATCATCACCAGTGAGCATCTCAGGAGAGTTCAGAGTTTCGAGCCTGTGCTATCCAGACTAGCAATCTGAGCCCTTAACCATACCGCCACTAGCGGCTGATTAGCTCGTACTTGATTAGGATTCAGCAACGCTCATTCCTTTATCACGAAATTCACATCATGTAGTCACGCATGTTGACTGACCCCTAGATTGACCACTTTTCACACTATGGTTACACTCATCTGAATTCATTCTAAAGTCACACCATCAAAAACTCCAATTTCTGTCGGGAAGATATTCAGGATGGATTGAAAAATCAGAGAAGGATGTGGTCGTAACGCCATGATGTCTCCCTCAGAAAGCATCGTACAGCCACTAAGAGAAAACGGGAGAATGAGCCCTTAATTTTTGCCCCTTCGAAGGTCTACCCAAAGCAGTGAAAACAACTCGGACTCTTCCCGATGTTTCGCCATGTGGAGAACCCTCGTGAGATGCCTGCTGGTGTATCGGGAAGTTTCATTACTAGATTCTGGTATTCGTTGGTTTTAGCCTGAGGTAAATTCTAACTCAACCCATTGGAGTGCTTCATAATGGTAAAATATCTTTTGATCAGCTGATTGAAAAGGGTCAGGTTAAGGAAATTCCCAGTTTGAATCTAAATTAATGAATGAAACAGAAAAAAAACTTTCCCTTTTGTCGTACGAGTATACATTCTCCAAATCATAACTAACAGCTGACCGAGTGTTATAGGTAGCACCGTTGTCTTTTTGAGGTGAATTACGAACAGCTGTGACCGTCGCAAGCGAGGAGAAAAATGTCTGGTTTTTCAAAGATCCTAACACCGGTTCAAACGGCAATGTCAGATCAAAAACTTCAGATATGGTTCTGGTTCTCTCAATCGCAGACAACAGTACTTAGGAGATAGAATGCCAATTTCTGAATGGCACATGTTATACTCTAGTCTGAGAGGCTAGTTATGTTGCACTCTACCCACGCCCTTCTAGACACCCTCTCCATTGCAAGTTAGATTATAGCTGGTGCGGGGGCCAAACGCAGGTGCGTACATCTGTACAGTGAAAATGCAGCATCCGGAATAGATGATCGAGAAAACAGCGTAAAGTGCCCGAATATTGAAGATCCGATAAAACAGCCTTTCCCGTAACGAACGTGAATATGGAACACAATAATGCAGTGTTGCGCGGTCTTCCCTGTCTAACCAGATTTCACTTACAGGAGACTAGCAAATTTTCATGTCAAATGTTTGCTTTGCTGTTTGCCATGGTAGTGCCAACGGAACGAGAGGCTCCTTCTGTCTGGACAGTTCCTACTTTCATTTGTGAGCAGCAGTGGCTTCAGAAAATTTCGCATCGTTGTTTATTGTACTGAACACTACATCACCTGTGTTCGTTGGATGGATGCCATTCGTGTCCTCACCCGTACGATGGGTAACCGACGAGGTTGGCAGTGTACAATGTGATCTGTTTATCGTGGCCTGTGCGGAACTGTAGGAACAATGCCCGAATGTGATTATCTTCAGCGTTGGATGTGCTCCTAAACATGTGCAACAAAGCCAGTCAATCAACACATAGCATAAAGGGCCAATAAAAAACCAGGCAGTCACGTGGCTGACTGCCCACGAAGACATTGCACACTTTCTAAAAAAAAGTAAAAAGCTGAGTTCATCATCATCACCATCAACGACAGCATGACATCAGTGCTCAACACCGATGCTTCACTGCTGTACAGCCATGATTTGTTTTAAAGCCTTATTGTGAAGCAAATAATAAAGGTGGACGGCAGTGAAGTATCGGTGTTGAACACTGATGTCATGCTGTCGATGATGATGTTGATGTTGATGATGGTTGCCGTTTTCGGATTAGTAGTCGGTTTGACTCCGGCTGCCAATCTCTTATTTGTTGAACTGCAATGTGGGATCATTTCGTGATGCACATTGGTTTCAGAGCTTCTAAACTCGTGTTTGATTGATTGTCTGTCCTGTTTCTTAAGAGCCAATTCGCCTGTATCTAACGACGTCCAATTATGCCGTTTATGGTTGTCGTTCACTGAAGTCGTACCACAGTTGTCTCTATCCAGTAGTGGCTTTCTATCAAAGCTACTATCGTTCCATAAATGTAACTTAACATCAGTGGACCGACTACGTGTCTTGTTCCAATAGTATTCTTATCCTAATCGAGCCAATCTGTAGTAACTGGACTCGCCGTACTTTGGTACCCGGTTTATGGCTGATTAACTGACTAACTGAGTTTGTTGCGGCTATTCAAATCTAAAGTGTGACAGAGCTGCGAAACTGGACGGGTTTCCAACAACGCTCTCCAGGTATGATGGGTCAGTAAGCTCAACTCCTTCATAGGGGTTTCTCTATGTATGAACAGATTTTTATCGACCGTCGGACAAACTTTGTTGTGTCATTGATAAAACCATTTTATGTTGAACTCTTGTAAACGCTGTTCGTTTGCCATCAGTGTGGTACTTCCTAAACTGATCTAAGACGAGAACAGGACTTCGACAATGAACAGACAGGCTTCTTAATGGGTAGCATCTTTACCTTGTGACAGTCGGTGGAGTTTTATTTCTTGTACCCAATCTTCATCGTCACCAACAACACAGCATGGGTGTTCAGCAGTAATACTTTGCTGTCGCATAGCCAGAATTTATTCGTAGGGCTTGTTGTGAAGGAAGAGTAGCAGAGATCCTATTCCTTGAAACGCGAAACGTATTTGACGCCGTCGACGGAACTGCTGTTTGGGGCTGTCGGGACCTAAAAGAGTCCCGGCTTAATTTCATGTTTGTAGTTGCTTTTTCCAACCGTTCAGAATCTTAACTGGCATACTACAAAGTTGCCCGATCCTACCGTCTTTTAATACGTCATTCTCAGAATTCCGTTAGAGATGGCCCTGAATAACATCTGATTGCTTCCTGATTATTCAATACAAAATCCATATTGTGTGGACGAGATTGCATGGCGAGGGGTGCAGACGTTTTCGCGATGCAGCAGCTGTTATACCTCGCCAACCCATCAATCTATGCTGAGGGGAAGGATGTATGGAGTATCCAGTCTCCCGTACCAAGTTTTTCGGTGGAAAAAGATCTGGAGATCAGTTTCGTTGCCGCCTTGCAAATCGCACTTGGTCGTATGGGTTTTAGAGTGGCACCGTTGAACCGATGGGTGGGTATTGCTAAGAACTGAACCTCTGCATCTTGATTGGTCCTGTCCAGGCTTTGGCAGCTTGACAGTATCTCAGCCAGGATCTCCTCCCTTCGGAATGCCTGGTAGCTATTCACCGCAAAGGTATTACTGCTGAACGAATTCTTATGAGCCAGTACGAAAATATCACATTATCTCTTCTCATTCTAAGCCTAGGTGGGGGGGGGGGGTCGAGATACATGAGTTAGGTTCGAATCGTGGAACTTCCAGTCAGTGACTTCACGCCATAGTCATTGAGCCATCTCGAGCCCTAGTGTTCATTACTGATGAATTATCGTTTACCCCATCGACGCGGATGGAACCGACAGCTTTGCCATACCTTAATCCTTTACTTCCTCCCACTAACCTCATTGCTACAGGAATTGAATCCTTCCGACCGTTAGCTATTGACCGTTGAGCCGTTGAGCTGTAGCGCCCTTTCGGTGCCTAGCTGTCATGCCACCCAGTTGAAGCACGGGGCTTGGATACTGTCAGCTTGCCCAAGCCTAGACAGGCGAAGTCGAAATACAAAGGTAGTATTCGAACAACAAACCTTCCGGCCAGGATGTTCACTTGCCTAGTGGGTACGTCAGTCGTGTAAAGTATCCAGCATTATCAACTGCGGTGGCTCAGCCATCTGCTACGCATATCGAAACGCCACCTACAGAGACCAGCGTTGTTATCCGCACCTCCCTCAGAATGGCTCAAACTGCGAGATGGACTGCATGTGGCTTGGTCGACGTCTTTGAAAGAGACTATGGGAAATTTGGGTTTTATCGATGTAGTCCGCCTACCGGAGCGCGAATTTACTGTCTGAAAGGTCCGTGATTCTAACCCACCTCTGCATCTCGACTTCCCCTGTCTAAGTGTGGGCAGCCTGGCAGTATCCAAGCCCTCCTGCTTCCTCCGGGTGTCATGGCAGCTGGACACTGGATGATTGTTGCAGCTGAACGATTATTTATTATCCGCCCTCCCCATAAGATACTTGAGGCGATCCGGCTGATGATAACATACTACCGCCGACATGGTCCGATGTTAATCTTGGTTTTGATTCTCATGGCTATGGGTGAGGTGTGGTACAGTCCGGATGCCCAGAGGCAGAAGAGAGGACGAGTAGGGTACTCAGCTAAAGCCTTTACCTCAAGTTACTGACCGCTTGGTAGTGGATTAGTAGCGGCATAATGCCGTTGGATGGGTATTGCAGCTGAACGATTATTTATTATCCGCCCTCCCCATAAGATACTTGAGGCGATCCGGCTGATGATAACATACTACCGCCGACATGGTCCGATGTTAATCTTGGTTTTGATTCTCATGGCTATGGGTGAGGTGTGGTACAGTCCGGATGCCCAGAGGCAGAAGAGAGGACGAGTAGGGTACTCAGCTAAAGCCTTTACCTCAAGTTACTGACCGCTTGGTAGTGGATTAGTAGCGGCATAATGCCGTAGTTGTACAGGCCTTATATGTTCGCACCTCCAACCATGCAGGCCGTGCAGGGTATACAGTTGGTTGTAGGACCTGTCTTTCCCTGTAATCTAGCGGTGACCTTCATTGAGACGAGAGGTCCCAGTTATACTTATGTACGTGCATTGCGTGGTTGTTAGACAAACGCATTTGATGCGAGAGGAGGGGAGCGGTTGACCGTTCACATCACTGTACCTATGTGGTAGAAACGAAAGCAGTCACAAGTAATGTTCTGAAGTGTTGGACCGGACCCTCGAGTGACTTTAAACGTTTGCCTGTTCATATCTGTGATGTTAATGAACCGGGTCTTACAGTGACTTTGATGCTTGTGGCTCAGTAATTACTTGATGTCTTCGTACACTGATTTTTGCGGATTTTTAGTTCGTTTCAGGAACTACTTTTAACCTAATCATAATAAAGTGAAAACAACTGAAGGTCCTCGAACCTAAAGCCTGAACAATGCTATCTTAGTAGTTTCTACTTTCTGGAAATCAAGCGCGTGACTGCCTATCCGTGGTTAAAAGCTTTGTTGCACATTGATCACATGTCCTGTGACACGCACGTCAAATTTTTCGTCTTCTCGCTATTCGTCCCATATTTTATAAAAACTTACCCACTCCACTGTACTCATTCCCACCTAGTTGACCCGTTATTCCTGTAGATGTCTACTTAGACGTGAGGATAGTTACCTTCGGTTTTAAACTGCTGAGGGATGTCGCCACTCACATGCTGGTTAGTGCATATGAGCAGCTCAATCGTAAAAGCCAGTCAAATTTTATTGGAGTTCCCGCGACTTCTCGAACACCGTCACACACATTTAGGCTAACAAGTGTCGCCTTATAGTATACTCCGGACTCGATATGTTGAAACTGAATGACAGTCGTCGTTCTGGTGGATCCTCGGCTCATCTTTCGCTGCCCACGGATATTAATTCTTTTGTCCTAGAAACGAAAGCAGTCACAAGTAATGTTCTGAAGTGTTGGACCCTCTACTAGAGTGACTTTAAACGTTTGCCTGTTCATATCTGTGATGTTAATGAACCGGGTCTTACAGTGACTTTGATGCTTGTGGCTCAGTAATTACTTGATGTCTTCGTACACTGATTTTTGCGGATTTTTAGTTCGTTTCAGGAACTACTTTTAACCTAATCATAATAAAGTGAAAACAACTGAAGGTCCTCGAACCTAAAGCCTGAACAATGCTATCTTAGTAGTTTCTACTTTCTGGAAATCAAGCGCGTGACTGCCTATCCGTGGTTAAAAGCTTTGTTGCACATTGATCACATGTCCTGTGACACGCACGTCAAATTTTTCGTCTTCTCGCTATTCGTCCCATATTTTATAAAAACTTACCCACTCCACTGTACTCATTCCCACCTAGTTGACCCGTTATTCCTGTAGATGTCTACTTAGACGTGAGGATAGTTACCTTCGGTTTTAAACTGCTGAGGGATGTCGCCACTCACATGCTGGTTAGTGCATATGAGCAGCTCAATCGTAAAAGCCAGTCAAATTTTATTGGAGTTCCCGCGACTTCTCGAACACCGTCACACACATTTAGGCTAACAAGTGTCGCCTTAACTTGAAAACCAGTGTTTAACCCAGAATTTCGTGCTGCTTTTTGACGGTACTCTCGCGGGCAATCGCTGTTTTCTCCTTGTTCACTTATAATTCTTCCATTTAGTTCCTTACCATATTTCCTCTTGTACATCCTGTGTCGTTTAACAGTTATGGAAGCGTTAGTTTGCGGAGATTCCTTTGTTCATCATCAGACGTGGTATTACCTTGGGAATGTCTTTTACCGCCCGCCCTTTTCAGTTCCTAATTGAATCACCTATAGCGCAAACCGTTGCCAGGCCTACTGAAATCGCCGTCAAACACCTCACTGTGAGCGATTTTGATATCGTACTCCCAGGTTCTTGGTTCATCCACATGTGAAATACCCTTGATAATCTCAATAATGTCGTCATGCCGGTCCGTATATATTTTGTACCTCCAGAGTACTCCAGCAAGACTGAATGAGTACTCTGCCAAACGTAGCTCTCGCTTCCGAACCGTTTAGTTGTTCTGCTTCGGATGGCAACATTGTCGATGAAGTGTGTTAAAATCGCTATACTCTGCACCTAGGCGTGGATGGTAGCGTAACGGTGGGGAGCAAGGCCCATCACACCGCAATGCGTCCGGCTTTGTTTTAGGACTGTAAAGCTTCGTCGCTGTTTGTGGAAGACCGAAGAAGATTAATTCCTTCTGACCATCTTCAAAACAATGCGTGATTAATATGGCAATCTCTGATTGGAAACGCTTAAGTACGATTAGTGGCCTTGGACAATGAATCAACTGCTTGTCAACGTAATGACGGGTTTAGCTGCACTAACTACGTTGCTTGCTTGGTTGTTGGTCTGTTCGCCGAGCGACGGGTTTACACTAACTACGTTGCTTGCTTGGTTGTTGGTCTGTTCGCCGAGCTTGGCAGTTGGATTGCAAACGTTTCATCACCAATCGATCGAGCATCGTCAGTGCAGGGTTGAGTGGGTGAATTCTTCCTCTTCTGCCTGTGATTGTATAGCTTCTAAACAGTATCTGGTAGTTCTGGAAACGATCATCGTGTAGTTTGATTGGTCTGTGAATCTCACGTGGTTTCAATCTCCTGTGTCTGGTTGCTACGTAGGGTGCATTCATTTCGGCAGTTCTGTATGTGGTTGTCATGCTGTGATTCGGTCGTTTCCTTCTTGCTTTGTGGGGTTGCTTGCTTCACATTCCAGGCCGATCGCTTCGTCTGCTTGCTGAAACAGGTTTTATTTAAAAAAAAACAGCCAGATGGTCGATGCGCGACCTGAAAACGAAGCATGAACCACATAACAGTAGGTCTAATCCGTCCTGATACATGTGAAGGTATCAGAGATCTAGCCTATCGATAATTTAAATTACTTACTGGAACGGTAGTACCACGAAACTAAAGGCGCTTTATTATCCCTTCGGTCGTTTTTTTCTGGTAGATTCATTTTCTATCCTTTCTTGTGTCACGTGGCTCGGATAGTCGAACGACGGTTCACGTTGTCAGACTGAGCTAAACTGAATGGTATTCCCTCTCTCTTTATCCTTACTCCTGAACACAGTTTCAACAAACGGGATAGCTATACTCTCGATAGATTGTTTATTGCACCGAATTTTAGCGGACGATTGCCCTGATAGGCTTATTTGTGCTTGGGTTACCTTTCGATCTCCAACATTATCAAAGCCATCGGTGTTAGTAGCGCCTTATCATTTGCTGCGGCTTTACCTCGGTCTTCTGTTGAAGCCGTAGGTTTTGCTCTTACAACTTATCGACACATGTGTTTGACAGCGAAGTCTCATCGGTAACGGAAGCTGGTGGTGAAATTTTTGTTTGCTGACAATGTCACTTGTTACTTGCTGATTGCGTTGTCGTTGATACTATTATATTATTATCGTTGTTATCACTATACAGTTCACTGGTTTCTTTTGTTTCACGTTTCAGGCTTTGTCTGACCGGGTCGTGTTCTACACTCCGGACCATGACACCAAAATCGCTGGTCTGTACGATCTGCAGCACACGATTGGACGGGGTCACTATGCCGTAGTTAAACTTGCTCGTCACGTTTTCACTGGGGAGAAAGTTGCGGTCAAGGTCATTGATAAAACCAAACTTGACGATGTTGCACAAGATCACCTCTTCCAGGAAGTTGTATGTATGAAATTAGTCCAACACCCAAATGTGGTTCGTCTGTACGAGGTGATCGACACA